TAAACTACAAAGCAAAGTATGTACGTACGGAGACGTAGACCAAGAAGCTTTAGAGATATCAGAAGGTTAGGTACCGTACAACAACAGAATGCCCCTAAATATATCCCATTGCACATATATACTAAAGGCCCGTATGCTTTTGGTTAAAGAATACAATGAACTCCTCTCCAGGAAATTTCAACTAGAACGCTTTCACAGAAACCATCCTTGTAAACATCTACATGGAGCGACTCCAGACTCTAGAAAAATCTAGAAAACACTACTTAATTGCGTTGACAACATTGCACAACTTACCGATCGGACCATTGACTCCTTCCAAGTGAATGCCGTCCATGAAGCGACAGTGAAAAAAGAGCTCGAGTTGTTTAAGCGAATCAAGAGTAACTTTTAGGCCATTTTGTTCTATAGCAAGTGAAACTTCTACTTATCCAGAATCGATCGCAAATTTATTTTCTGCATGGCTCAGACTATCTCGTAGAAGAGACGACGCAACGAAAATATTCTATCCCTAGTTAAAATTAGTATCTCAACTTAAGTTTCTATATGTTAGGACTAGATCAAGCTATGGGTGCCACGAGACTATGGACTGAGCAGTTTGCTCACCCGAAAATCGGTAGAGCAGAAGCTTTAGAAGTATATGAAACCAAAGCAGGATATATTTCTAATAATTATAATTTGCCTCACTGGACACGGTCCAAAAGACCCTCAGGCAGTGCAGATAAATATATAACGGGTAATCCAAAAGGCAACGTTTTTCAATAGCCTTTTTTGACAGATCACGCGTGAGTCGTGTCAAGGTGTCATGTTATTTTTGTTCAGTGCTTTTTGGTATATCATCGTGGAAACACTTAAGCTTGAAAAAGGTTTAAAAATCTTTCAACTTTATTACGAAAATTCACGCTGTAAAGAATATGTTTCGCGCGCTTCGCTCAACTCATGGCCAACATAATCGGCATACTGCGCCTATTATTCGCATAACCATCACCCATCTTGAAAAATATCATTCCTTTTTGGTTAACATTCGACCGAATAGACGACGTTTAGTCAACAGCGAAGATAAAATACCGCAGCCGTAGCTGAGAGTGTACACGAAGACGATTCGTCGCCGTACGCAGGACTGATGTATGGAACGACTGAAGCCGCTTGACCTTCTCAAACAACATCGCTTCCCTCTATGGGCTCTTGAAAAGTTCCAAGAAGATCCGACGTTTTCGAACTAAATGTCGTCCGACTGGCCACCAAGATCATGTTTGCGACGCTATAACTCACGAACGACTTAAAAGACATGACAATCAAACGAACACGTGTTAGCGCGTGAAATGAGCTTTCCAAAAAGGTATAGCATGACCCGATGCGACGAGTAAAACTAGAACTACGCGCTCTCAGCGCCAACTAGCGAAAATACCGCAAGACTTTTTTGACAAACTAATATAAAGTCTAAAGTCTATGCGTACAAATCCCGCTGCGATTCGGGCCTTGGAACAATACATCACGCTTGTCATTCACCAGTTACCAGTCGAAATGGTCGAACTAATCTTCGAAAATTCGACTCAACGAATGGACCATCTGAGACGTAGCCGCGGCGAACATTTGAAAGATAAAATCTTGAAAAAATTGCGTTTTGACGACACAAGACACAGACGTTCACATCTGTCTACTGACATAAGGGTGGCCGACGGGTCTTTTCGTGAATTTTAAAAACGTCAAGAGTAATATATTTAGGAGGCTGGAAGTCAGTTTGATAGTAGATGCGGTATTTAATGAAAATGTAAAGGTTTTTCATTTAAACAGTTTGGTTTTTCGCATAAATTTAAACATCTCCAAATGCGCATACAAGTTATACAAAAATGTTAATAGGCGAGGATAAATTCGATTAATTACGTAGATTAAATATGAGAAATATTCTGCAAATTACATTTAAAGTTTTTAACATTTTACCCACAGCGCCACTCCAACACAGTTTTCTCGCCATAAATTAAGTCTTAACAAGTTATAACTTAATCACTTTTTAAGAACACTGTCTAAGCCAACTTCAAAGAGAGTATATGATTAGTCGGACCTTTTCCTTTTCGTCGCTTAGTAAACAAAATATAAATTACAACATTATATGTAATATACATGACGACGCCTTTGCTAGGGGTGATGGCGAAAAAGGTTCGGGCACTTTAATTTATGTGAACGAAAGCCGAAAATGACATACTCATATATAACAAATAACGGTTAATGTTTTATTCAACAACTAAATGCCATGTAAAAGCAGCAAAAACCGCAGCCTTCTAAGGAATTTAAAGGACAGTTTACAAATGATGAGTGAGTTGTAATAATCGACACAGGGCTCAGTGAACTTGAAAAAAAAAAATACTGAAAAAACTTAACAAATCAAACATTGTGTAGCTATGTTGGCCTATTAAAAATTCAAGTGCTCGATAAACTTTATTCTGTCGTCATTTTTTCATTTTTTTTTTTTCATATATGATGAGCCATTGTTGCCGTCTGACCTGTTAGCAGGTCAAAAAAGGCACCTTAACTGGAAGGCTAGCGCGCTAGCATCATGAAACGGCATGAGCACGAAAGGCATGCGTTGGCAAAAGCAAACAAAGAAATATGAGAGCAACATGAGATCACTTGACGGGATTATATATTATATGTGTATGTATGTATGCATTGGCCTGTCGAGTTTTTCTTCTGGTTTATCTCTGTCTGGGCCATTTTAGTACGGGTGTGTGCCGTCAAGCTATCTTGCGTAATCATAGCGCATTGACTAAGCGATAGCAGGAGGAAATCCGGTTGCTGCCTATAAAGTATGTCGGTATGTATACAACAAAAAATATAAAGTGCGTTTCATATTTGAGTACACGTGTGCGTATGAAAATACTTTATGCCCTTTTATACATCTCTTAATATTTCCGCACACTCTTTTGTTGAGATTTTTCCTGTAGGCAATACGGTAATCCGCTTACTTCCGCAATTGTAGCGCATAAAAGTCAGTATAAATGAGTTTTTGTACATATTCATTATGTCATATATTCACTTACACTGAAGATGAATATGCCCAAAGGAGCAAACTTTACACGATAATTGAGTATTTTAAACTATGCAAGCATTTAAGTATTAACATCTGATCCAAGTAAATGTAATTTTTTCAATAGCCGGTTTTTTACAGATCACTCGTTAGTCGTGTTACTTTTATTCATTTCATCTTGGAAAGAATAACGCCTGAACAGCGTTTACAAAACGTTCAACATTCACGTTCTGTAAAGAATGTGTTTCGCGAGTGCTGAGCGTACAATTTGCAACACTGTCACCCATCATCAGACCCAGCGGGAGTAGGCTCGACGCCGTTGGCAGCAACTAGGACTGGCGTATGAAACGGCTTGGTGCTTTCAACGTCGAGATCATAAATGTAAAGCGTACAAAAATAGGTTGTCCATGAATTGAGGCCGCTCGATCTTTTCAAACGACATCACTTCGCACTATGGATTCTTTGAGAAGTTCCAAGAAGATACGACGTTTTTGCGCTAAACTTTGTTCAGCATTGAGGCCCATTTCTCTCTCAATGGGTATGTAAAAACGCAAAATGTCACATATGGGACGAATCGCAACCGGAAAAGATTCAAGAGCTGTCATTTCATCACGGTGTGGTATGGTTTGCGGGCATCATCGGTAAATATTTCTTCAAAAATGATGCCGGTGAGAACGTAACCGTTAATAGCGACCGTTATTGCGCTATGGTAATCGATTATTTCATAACTAAAATGCAAGCTAGTGATCTCGACGACATTTCGTTTAAACAAGACGGTGCCGTTTCCCACTCATCGCATTAATCAATGGATTCGGTGAGCAGATAGTTCCACGATTCGTGCCGGTCGATTGGTCGCCAATATCGTGTGACACCGTTAGACTTTTTCATGTGGGAATATATAAAGTCTAAAGTCTATGCAAAGGCAACCCCGCTACGATTCAGGAACAAATCATTACGTGTGTTACTCGCAAGTTACCAGTTGAAATGATCGAACGAGCCATCGAAAATTGAATTCAATTGAGGCGTAGCCGCGGCTAACATTTGAAAAAGACAATCTTATAAAAATAAATGCCAAATAATATTCTTTCGAATGATAATAAACATTGCCCACTCAATTACAAGTTGCTGTGTTCTTTCTTCTTTAAAAAATCATAAGAGCTTAAAATGGATCACCCTTTGTAATACTTGTATATGCAATTAGGGAACAATAAATAAAATGGAAGAACGTCAGTTTGTTTTAAAAAAAGGTAAATTAATATTAAAAAAGTCAGATCGTTCAAGAGAAAATCGGGCTTGTTCAAACTTTAACACCGGAGCTCCAATCAAATTCAATTTTATCTACATTCACACCATATAACGAACTTATATTTGAGTATTATCTCCGGAAATAGTTTCGGTGATGTGAGTGAGGATTTTACTTAGTGTATTCGCTTCCAAGAACTTCAAATGCTTTTTTCTTGAATGCTGCTTTCACAGTCTCCGTAGCGACTTGGCCGTGCGACTTGACAGTTCTTATGCCCGAATGACGCAAAACAGCCATTTTTTGGTGAAGTAGGCTGTAAACTAGACTACACTGCCGCTACAAAATAACTATTCGCTAGACAACAGAATCGATGTTTTTTGGCATCTGGCAGCTCCATTAATACGTACTCTCATTGAAACTACTGTCTCTTTCTAATATAAGACACTCTTTTTATTGCTCAATTCGCTTACACACACGTTCTTTTATCCGTCGACTGTAGGTTAAATCACGGTTTTTTCATGTGTTATACATTTCTGCACAGAAAATTTCTTTTCACTTTCTGGAATGGTAGACACCGTCTCATACACGTTCGCTTTCTACATAAATATCTTTTTGAATTTTTTTTCTCTATGACTCCAGCTGTGTCTCACTCTCCGACTCTACGTCTCTTGCTAACTCAAATTTTATTTTTCTCTATCCGTCCCACCCCATCTTACGCACTAAACTCACCCGTCATTAGTTAAAAATTTGCTCGCCCACCTCTTTGTTACAGCCAGCTTCCAACAGGCAAATATCCTTGCCATTGTCCAAACTCACGAACGCCGTCTCCGTAAAATGCATCTCCACAGTATGCTCATCACCCGACACACAATCCTCATCCAGCGCATTATTACAATTATCATGTTGACCCTTGCCATTCACAGTGATATCCACCACATGCGTGCCATGCACCATTACCGTATTACAACACTTATTCGATGTTAAGACATCACCACTATTGCTACAAGTCAGTTCGAGTGTCTCGCTCATGCACTTGTCTTTCACTCTGGCCAATGATGTCTCCTGCGTAACGCCATTCTCATGCTCATCATCATCGCCCTCATCGATATCTATGCTCACACCTACCCCATTGCCCATGTCATTGCGACGCCGACCGCCCTCGCAGGTATTGCGATCCGAACGATTATAACAGTGACGATTCACTTGACGATGTTTGGATGGATTAAAGCAGGGCAACACATGTTTGAACTCTTTGCGAAAGTTCTCGTTCAGCCAAGCATACAAAAAGGGATTGTAGCAAGTCGAGGACATGGCCAGCGCATGCGTTATGAAGAAGATGAATGTGTAGAAAGACCAATCATTCGATTTGTCATAGAAATCATCAACCATATTGACAATATTCATCGGTAACCACGAGCAAGCGAAGACGCCAACCATCGCGATTAGCATGAAGTTTGTGCGCTTCTTACGTTCACGATCGGCTGCATCGCGCGCCGCCGATTTAGCGCCGGGCCGACAGCGTTCGCGCATATTCAGTCGCACCGACACCCAAATATAACATACCGTAATCGCGCCTAACGGTGCGACAAACTGACCGAGCGTTGTCAAAATACCAAAACCACGGCGAAAACTCTCCGATGGCCAATTCTCTTCGCAGTATATCGTGACATCGTCATCATCATACTCCGCGTCCGGTGAAACGTCCAAATTAAGTTTGATACCAGTTACCGAAGCCACCGTTGTAATCGCATCGGTCAGCAGATAAATACCGTACGGTGTGGTTGTGGCATTCAAATGATCACGCAGACTATTTGTACTATTCGCAATGAACGTCTCACCGGTATTCACATACTTTTTCTTAACATGCGCCACAACAACGCGCATATATAAGGCATATGGACTAGTGGCCACCAAGGAGAAGCACCATATAAAAGCGAGCGTATAACAGCAGGTGCGTATTTGCATGCGCGGCTTGAAGGGGAACACGATTACAAATACACGATCCACAGCGATCGCTGTTAGCGTAAAGGTTGACAGATATATACTGCAACCCTGCGCATACGATACCAGATGACACATGGTGGCGCCGAATATCCAACGGCCCATGAAGGTGTAGAGCGGCGTAAAGGGCACGGCCAGCACACAGAGCAATATGTCGGAGATCGCTAGATTCGTTATGAAGTAATTCGTAACTGAGTGCATGGCACGATTGCGTATGACGACATAGCAAACGAGCGCATTGCCAAATATGCCCAACACGAAGACGGTCGTGTAGATGATGCAGAAGACGATCTGCACATATGGATCGTTGATTAAGTCATCTTTATGTTCGACCTCATAGCGCACATCCACGCCGCCGCCTCGATGCATACTCATGGTCGTGCTCATCGTGCTTGCGCTCATCGTAGTCGCCGCGCTCGATGCCGGCGTTGTGGTTAGTACAGTTTTTAGCTCCGCCTCGGTAATTGGCGGAGTCGAACTAACTTCGGTGGTGGCATTCATGTGTGCTTTTGTTGCACTTGTTGTAATGGTTTGGGTTATGTTGCTATGCTGAATTGTCGCTTCGCTCGTCGTGCCCAATGCTGCAGCTAAAGTTAGCGCCGCCGAGGTGATGTTGAACAACAGTATGACTAAAGTCAACGTTGCTGGATTGTAAAGTGGCTTAGCGATAGTTGCTGTTGTTATTGGCTTGCGTCGCCGCCACATTGTCGCTCTTCCTACTGCATCCATTACGATTGGGGGATGTGTGGTTTTGTCTCTGTGGTTCAGGTTCTGGCTACGACTCTGTCACGTGCGCCGCAATAAATCAGCTCAAATTGTTTGTGGCGTTGTCGTTGCTGCTCAGTAGAATTGCAAGGATTAGGATGTTCTCATTGTTGCTGCATATTATGTGTGCGTCTTTGTGCCAGTGCGAGTAATGCAGTCATAAAGGGAGTGAAAGTCTTCAAAGCCGCCACTGTGGACAATTAAATTTCGCATTTTGGCGGTCTTGTCCTCTCTGCTTTATTATTTGTACACAAGCGTCCACCGTAGCTCTACTTACTGGTCTGTAAGAAAATGAAAGCAAAAGAAACTCTTAGTTCATATTACTTTAATAAGTCTATAAAATATTTGGTGCTAAGTAATAAGTTTAGCACTGAGAAATATATTATTTTTGCATTAAACAAGAAGTCTTATTTTTAACATAGAAACCCTCGTCCCTATTATTGTCATGAGGAAATCAGAAATAAATTTATTCAGTAGCGATTTACATCCGACCGCTTTTATACAACGCCAGACAGGAATTGCTAAGCCCGTCTTCTGGAAAAATACAATTAGCGTTCCAAAGTAAGCAGGTTGGTTTTTCGGCGAAATCTATTTATTTTATTCAAAATAGTCTCCTTCTATTTCAATATAGCTTTTTGAGCGGTCCAAAAGCATGTCGAACGAGTGTTTTAGCTCGTTCCCACGACAGTCGGGTCTACGAAAACCGGAACGGACCCGGACTTTTATCCGGCCAAGGACTGTCAACTCGGCAGAATTCTGCCGTTACAACAACAACAACAGTGTTTTACCTCGTTTGCCGACATGGTCGCCAGTATGCCGGTGCAAGCCTTTCGTGTCGGTAAAAGAAAAAAATTTTAAAGCAAAATTTAATGTTGGCTTTTTGTTCGAAGCTCCAATAACACAAACATACTGACACTTAAAACGCAATAACTTCACTTCCAATCTATGAAATGTCATGAAATTCTTACTGGAGAATCAAAAAAAAATAAATAAATAGCAGATTCTAGCCTAGGCGCTAAATTCAAAAAGTCCAGTTTACTTTGGAAAGCGCATTGTAATGCACTTCTTTGCACTTGACCTACTGAAAAGAATTTAGTCCAGGGATATAAGCAGACATGGATGGAACTCTATTCAAGGATGTAAGGCTGGCTTTGATTATTTACCTATTATATAACATCAACAATATTGGATACACGATAGAGACCACGTGGATCGAGTTTTGCAAGTGGAAGCGCCGGTAAAATGATTATTTAAATTTAGTTTATGCAATGTTCAAATGACGCCCGAAAATCTGGCTAAATGTCCTACCTATCAAATTGGATTCCTTGAAAACGGTTGTTTAATATATCTATTTCCAGTCAGTGTAAACATCTCATATGGTTCCGCCAGGCAGCGTTCTTGACTCGACGTTTCATGTTTTATCACGCCTCGTATTCCCACTTCATCTAACAATTGATGAAATGTTGTTGTTTCATAAAATTATTTCATAAAAACAACTGTCAATATTATATAATATCTATTTTCTATCTATCGATCTATCGATCTATCTATCTATCAATATATATATACATATTATATATATATAAATGCAAGTATGTCTGTATGTTCCGGGTATTCTCCGAAACGGCTGGACCAATTTCAATGAAACTTTCAGGAAATCTGTTTAATCTAACCAAAAAAGAAAGTGTTGGTAAAAAAAGGATCCAAATCAAATCAAATTCAATTGAAACTTCCGGCCGAATAAATCAATTATAAGTCAAGCGACACGGTAATGGACGAAGAGCAAGCTGTAAATTATATGCTTGAATTTTTAAACTCATTGGAACCATCTGGAATGCCACCACAAACATTAAAATTGAAAATTGGATCATCCATAATGCTTATTAGCAATTTAAACGCACATAAGTTATGACACGGAACCAAATTAACAATTAAATAATTAATTTACCAGTGATGAAATAATTTTAACTGGTTTTGAATAACTATCAAACTAATTTGTCTTATTTATATCGTTAATATTTATCACGTACTATTAATAATAACAATACCCAACGATTACCCTCCTCCCGCCCAACCGACGCGCGGGGCGCAATCCGCGAACGAGCGGAACTAGCCGAGTCATAATAGGCAAGGGAGTTTTAAGCGTTGCGATCTTAAGCTGCTCAGCTACAGAAACAAAAATTTCAACAGCCAAAACTAAGAATTTGATTAAAGTTTATAATTTTTAAATGTTACTTGTTAAGAGTAGATAAAAAATTTTTTTTAATGGTAAAGAGTGAATCTGTTAGATCACATGTGCTGGAATGAGAATTGAAATCATGACATATACGGCGGAATGGTTCGTTTAACTCTAGATTTGTTCTAGAAAATTTTAAAAGCAAAGGTTTAAACTGCCTG